CTTTGACAAGAAAGGTCATAAAATGGAGCAAAATTTACTTAACAACTGTCTGTCTTAGCAATAGAAATTTTGGCTCAATTGCAGTCGTAACTCAGTAGATTTTTGAAACTTGATCGTATGGCAGTGAATGGAGCATCATGGACCATGTGCACATATCACTTTATCAGTTATCAATGAGGAATTGTTTCTGTCATTGATGGCCACAGTAACTCTATTTCTGTATGACCTATAAAGCACAGTTTGGATTGCATGAAAGTACTCCCAGCAATAAAACGAAAATAGAGATGGAAGGATGGAAACAGAAGGAGAATGAAAGTTATGGATAATTGTAGAATGTTACTGGGACAGAATGGAAAAACTTTGAATCCTGGCGATGAAGCAAAGATGACATCTTTCGTTGATTTTTGCATAGGTATGTACACATGTGAGGATGAATTACATGAGGTTGGTTGGGATAAGAAACAGTTAGCTTAGGGTGAAGCTGGAGGCAGAAGTTGCATGTGAAGAATTTGCAAACGTTCTCCCTGTTAAGTAGCAAAAAGTAAGGAAGAATGTGTAATCAATTGCTTTTATATTAGGACATCAACTCTGAGGGATGTTTTAGAATTTATTTCAAATTAATAACAAGGGGAGAAAGAATGGAGTGGGTAAATAGAGACCAAACTAAGCATACTGTGAAATTTGTTTTGTACAGATTAATCGCCAGATGAAAACAGAGGAGCAGATGAAAAGCCACCTTGCAGTTGAATTGAAGCTCTACCAGCAAGTTAACATGAAGGCTTCAGCTTCCTTCAAAAGCTTGGCAAACTTCCATTATCCACTATTTTCAAGGTTCTCTATGAATATCCATGATTCTTTTAACCATTTAATATATAAACAGGTTGTTACAAACAGTAGATTTTTCCTTGTAACTTTGATGAATAAAGTTTTCACTTATTTTTTTGTAATAACTTGGCTTTTTTGTTTATTTGAATTTTCTGAACAAAGTAGCCTGACTTAGTTCAGTTATAAATATTTTCTCTTGGTAACTCCCCAAAGTATTAATAGGTCATTGTCATACTTCTCACAGTAGCCATCTGTAGAATTCAAATAGTTTGCATTGAAGCAGGAATAAAATTTACTTATTTCTGTAAATAATAAGTTCCAGCTAAGTAGTGCATTTACAAGTAAAGAATAACACTAATGGGCTTTTAAAGCAGAGATAAAGTCCAGTTCTAGATAAACATTTTGGGTTCCTCCTAGATTGGAGCAAAAGAGTAGGTTATCAGGTTGAAATAGTCTTGGGACCTATTAGTTATTAGGCCCAATCAAAAAATCACAAATGAACAAACATTTCGGTTGGATGTTTTTCTTCACAGCGAATCTCACACAGAACTCAGAAGATGGAATATTGGGATATTNGCTTGCAGGACTGGCCTAGGGTAATTTTTAGAGGGGTTTTAATTATATTTTAATTGGACTATGTTTAAATATTTCTTTTTAATTAATTTTAATTTTGTAATTGTTATTGGTGTATTTTAATCGATTGTCAGCCGCCCTGAGTCCGCAAGGAGAAGGGCGGGATATAAATTGGATTTAATAATAATAATAATAATAATAATTAAGATCAAGAGCTGAAATTTAAATGGTCTGCCAGTCCTGCATTTTTTTTAAAAAAAGGTGCGCAAAATATTTTAAGTTTCAAACAGCTGTCTTGAGAGAAAGACTTACTGCTCTGAGCTTATTGGAAGTATTTCCATACTTCCATTCTGGAAAGGGAACTGTTTGGAATTTAGAATACTTTCCAAAATAGGCAGAATGCATTCATTCAGTAATTTTGGGACAGCTGTTGCAAACTCAAAATGTTCAACATACCACTAAAAAGTAGGGCAGGATCAGGATGGAAAAATAGGAGGAGGCAAGGGAGAAAAAACACATTTTTAGCCTACTCTATCTTAAATGGTGCGGTTCTTAAAGTAGCATTTTCCCAGTCTGTTCCAATAGAAAACCTACCACAGTGATGGCGAACCTTTTAGAGACCGAGTGCCCAAACTGCAACTCAAAACCCACTTATGCATCATCGGGTGCCGCGTGGGTGTGGCCCATTGGCTGGGTGTGGCTGCGGTGGTAACGGCAGATTGGGTGGGGCTAAAAAGTTCAATCAATTCCAACTTTGCAAGATCTTTTTTTTCCCACGAGAAGTTGAAATTGACTGATTGATTGAACCTTTTTTTGTACACGGCAGGGGCGGCCTAAAGCAAAAAGGTTTTATAAAACCCAGCTGAAGGCCTAGGACTGGGGCGACGGCACACGTGCCCACAGAGAGGGCTCTGAGTGCCGCCTCTGGCACCCGTGCCATAGGTTCGCCACCACTAACCTACCATAATTCAACAAGAAACTGAGCTAGATCTGCAGAAAGTTATTGCAAGAGCCACATACAGCTACCAGTTGTCCTTTGACCGAGAAGGCCTAAATAACCTCATAAATGCGATAGTTTGTCCATGAAGACAGTTTGATGGGTTTGAGGCTTGGACTTCATGATTGAACTGCATATCAAGATATTTCAAAGGCTCATCTTGTAGAAATCCGTGGGAGATCGATGCTGCTGTCCTGCAAGAGAGAATTTTGTGGTCCAGTAACTGTTTATAAAGATGGCTATCCTTCTGTGTAATCCATTTGTCATTCTGAGAGGGTTGTGGGGGAAAAATGGCAGATGGAAGGGAAATAAGACTTCCTTGTTTCGTTCAGCTTGTTTTTGTTTTGCATTGGATTCCTTGTTTTGGACCACACTGTTTTTGTTCAGTTGCATTATAATTATAGTGTACTATGAATAAATTTGCTTCTCATTTGTAACGACCTTTTGGGAGGCAGGTTCCCATTCTGCTGTATCTTATAATACCCTGTTTTTTTTATTTCCTGATTTTTTTTTCTGCTTTTGTATCTTAAGGTGGCTTAATAAACTTACGTAAATAAAAAAAACGTATATATAGTCAATTATTTTTCAGATGGATTTGACACCATTATGGAAAAGCCCATAAAAAACATCAGTTCAGAAAGAGTGCAATTATGCAGGAAGTCTATTCCAAATTCCCCTTTCAAAGGGAATTATTAGTGCAGTCCTATAGTTTTGGGACTTCCATTTCTCTGAATCTTTCCCACTGTTGTGGAAACTGGGATTAATGGCAATTGACATTTTAAATCAAATGGAAATTCTTGGGTCACCTACTTGGTTTAATTAGATCTGCCTTCTAGTTAGTTTGCACATACTTATTTGGGATGATAAGTCTGGTATAGCACACTGTGGTTTGCTGCTGATCAGACATGTGTCAGCCTGCCTGAAAATCAAATAATGGTTGAGAACTTTATTACAACCTGGGAATTTCTGCAAAATCACCAGTGTAGATCAATTATAAAACTGCTAAAATCCCCACCCAAAGGATTGTGAATGACTGTATCTCATAGTCTGAGTATGAAATTGCAGAAGAGGAAGCAGAGATCTGTTAGTCTCTGGTGCTAATCTGAACAGATAAGACTGATAAGAGTGGGTTGATAGTAGCTTACCAGCAGCCTGATAAAAAAAAGAATGAAAGATGTTTAAAATGTAAGCTGGGATTCTCTAGCAGCCCAACACTGATAACAAAAATGAAAGTTGGCTAAATGTTGTATCAAAAATAAATGTTGCTGATGTTCAGTTACTGTATTATTCATACTGTATATGTTCCTGCCTCTATAGTTCCATTCATTTAATTAACACTTGGCTTCCCCCATTTTTCTAACACAGCTCCGAGACACATATGCAAAGAGTAGCTTTGCTTGCTTCACCAGGGAACATTTTTTCCTAGAAGATGTGGATCCAAATGATAAAGAAGATGGCGATCCTTGCTGGGAGGTCAAATGGCAGCTGTCGAGGCTCGTTAGAAAGGTACTCCCCTTTTTTACATACCCATCAGTCTTGTACCAAGTGGAAATCGGGAGACATGGTTTCAAGGATTTTACTCCTTTTTAAGATTTATAGTTGTCTGCTTTAATAAATTATGTCTGAACTTTCTGGAGTATGCTCTCAAAATTCTAAAATGCAGATAGAAAGAGAAACAGTTGCAATCAGATATTCCAGATTATCACACCAGCTTCTGTGTATGTGTAAGATTGCCCCAAGGCAGGGGTAGGCAACTTTGGCTCTTTTATGACTTGTGGACTTCAACTCCCAGAATTCCTGAGCCAGCTATGTTATGCTGACTCAGGAATTCTGGGAGTTGAAGTCCACGAGTCATAAAAGAGCCAAGGTTGCCTACCCCTGCCCCAAGAGTTACATTCCTACATCCATACTTTGTAAGAAATACTGGTGGAGAGCCAGTTTGATCTAGTGGTTCAGACACCAGGCTAAAAAGTAGGAAACAGCGAGTTCAAATCCTGCCTTAGCCATGAAAGCCAACTCTCTCAACCCAACTCGCCTCACAGGGTGAGATGGAAAATAAGAAGAAATTGGATATATTTTGCCATTTTGAGTTACGTGTCAAAATAATGCAAGGGATGCAAATAAATAAATGAATAAAATCCCTCATTGGGACTGCCGTGGCTGCATAATTCCTAACTTGTTCAGATTTACTGATACCAGACTTCACAAAAATTCAGTTAAAAGTGTTTCAGAGTGCGTGCTGCATCTTCGTTTTACAAACTCTTGCTGTTTTTACCACATTGCACATTATTAATACGCTTTTCTTAATTTCTTTCTAGTCCAACTGTTTCAATTTGTCAGAGACTGGTTTGAATTTGCCCTGCTTTGAGGCTTTATTTATTTATTGGATCCTGAAAAATAGAAGAAACATTTCATTAATAAATAAGTAGATACAGGTAGTCCTTGTTTAATAACTCTTCACTTAGTGATTGTTTAAAATTATGATGAATTCTCCCCCAAATGGTACTCGCGGCCCAGTTTTGAAATTCTAATGATTTCCACATAGAAAGAAAATTTAAAAAGCATCTTGATAATGTGTCATATGATAAAAACAGCGAGAGCTTAATAAAACTAAGATGCAGCCCACACATAGCCACATGACTGCATTTTGAATGCTTGGCAGCTAGTTCACCCTTACAGCCAATTGTAGCATTCCGTGGTCATGCGGATTAATGTTTTTTTGCAGGAAACTGGCCAAAAAAGTTTTCCAGCAAAAAAAAATAAATCCATAGGAATGCATTGACTTAGTTAACGACTGCCCTGTTTGCTTAACGATTGAGGTTTGCCGTTAAGCAAACTGCCATGTTTGCTTAACGGCTGCCTCAAAAAAGGCACAAAATGGAGTCAGTCACGGTGCCTCGACTTAGAACCATCATGATTTATAACAGAAACTTTGGGCTTCCTTATGGTTATAACTCAAGGACTACTTGTAAAGATTGTTCTGAATTTTTTGTAGACCTAGTTTAGCCACTACTGCCACTTTATAAGACTTTCAGAGCTTTAATGCTCATGTGAGGTATTTTGAGAGGGAAAAGGGCATCTGCCTAAACTGTTCTGGGCGATGTGGTTTATTTCTGTTGCTGACTTGAGCGCCAGGAAGAGAGTTAAGGATGTGTCTCTCCTCCCTTTTTAAAGTTTTCAATAGCTAGAGGTAGTCCTCGATTTACGACCACAGTTGAACCCATTTTAATTGCTAAGCAAGACCGTTGTTAAGTGAGTTTTGGCCCCATTTTTACAATCTTTCTTGCCACACTTGTTAAATAAATCACTGCAATTATTAAAGTAACAACACAGTTGTTAAGTGAACCTGGCTTCCCCATTAAGTTTCCTTGTCAAACGGTTGCAAAAGGTGACCCCATGACCCTGGGACGCTGTAATCATTAGAAATATCAGCCAATTGCCAAGTGTCCAAATTTTGATCTTGTGACTGGGGATGCTGCAATGGTTGTAAGTGTGAAAATGGTTGTAAGTCACTTTTTTTCAGTGCCGTTGTAACTTTGAATGGTCATTGACTAAATGGTTTGAAGTCAAGGATGTGAGATGTAAAAACCCCAAATTTTGATACTCATAATATGAAGACAAGTCTGGTTAACAAAACAAAGGTTTATTGGAGAATAACATAAAAAGAATAAAGAGAAAAGAGAAGAGAATAGAAGAGAGGCATTTGCAAACGTGGCCTCCTGGATCCTTCCCTATGGATTGGTTTCCAGGAGCGTACTGACCTGGTTTCAAGCTCTGCATCTTATACCTCTACAATGCGTGTCACATCTAAGAAGCTCTTTCATCTTTATAATGTACTTTGAAGTTGTACTTAAAGTCATCCTGACCTCTTCCACCCATCTGCTGTTATCTTGTATATTTGTACTTTTCACCTAGGGTCAAAATCCCCCTCTTTGATAGTAGGATTTCTACTCAAAGTGTAAGTTCCTGTGTCCAGAGGGATTTTTAGGCAGTAAACATTGAACAAACTTTCTCACACATTTGGCAGTGCATTGCTACATTTGCGTTACAGTGTTAAATTTGTGTTAAATATACAGTCTCATATATTGGCATTACATTTCTACAATTATTTTTCTACAATTTTATAAAATAATAACTTTTATTTCCTTCAAGGACTACCTGTATATGTAATATGATAGACTTAGAGCTGTCTTAGAGCAGGGGTGTCAAACTTGCAATGTCACGTGACGTGTCGCGACGTATCGTGACTTTTTTTCCATTGCCGGCAATGGGGCGCAGTTTCACCATGACGCATCCGGCCCGCACGCCGGCAGTTTAACATCCCTGCCTTAGAGGTTGTGTTCTTTTTGGAACATGTAAACTACACATTAGGATAGCATCATAAGGCTCAAGATTATCCAATAAGCTGTGATTGCTGAACTAACTTCTTGGTTTAGAACTTAAATACATGCTCATTGGCTAATATACATATCAACAATTCTGGCTTCCTCTCTGTACATTTTTTGCAGAAGAAGGTTCCTTAGACTCATTCCAAAAAATAGTTTTGGGGGAGATGGAAGTATATAAATCCAGTATTTGGGTTTATGCTGCTTTATTCTAATAACATCAGGAGGAAAAAAGATAATTAACTATATTTGTAATTGCAGATGGTGGCCAAGAATCGTGCAGAAGAAGTAACATCAGCTTCAACACAAGGTTGGGAAAGTTTATGATTCATGATTCATGAATGGCTGCATTGTTGCACTGAGGAAATGAATGAGATGGTCATTGAAAGCCAGATTATGATGTAATCTAGATTATTTAAAGAAGCTGAACATGGAGCACTGGTTCTAGGAAGCACTTCTGTGTCTAAGAAAATGATTAAATTGAACTCGTCCTTCCTACATTTTCCATAAGTGGATAAGGAGATAAAATCATTTATGGAGGCCACAGTCAAGGGACAGAGCAGAGTTTACTTTGCAGAAGGTCTGAGGTCTCCCAATAAGTGATGGAGAAAACTTCTACCAGTGATCCTGACGAGATGCCAGTCATCAGAATAAATATGTGGACACTTTACCTCAACTACAGTTGTGTGGGAAAGATGGAAAGAAGGACCAAGCCATCACCTCTGCTGAAAGAACAATTCCATTGAGTTCTTCTTCAATGGTTTCCATTTTAACTAGTTCCCTAAAGTGCTAGAGATACCTCATTTTCTTACAACATCCATGTTGCATTTTTCTTTTTGAGTTATACCTTTTTTATACTGTAGTACTAATTAGTGCTGTAGTAGCCTCTATAGTCGGACCTGTCTAAGGGAGCCTCCTACATTCCTTCCTATATAAGCTGGTATAAGCCTCCATGTATCTGTTTCATCCTTTCCTGTAATATGCACTATATATCTAAATATGTAAGGTAAGAGGGAAAAACCCACGACATCTATATAAAGTATTGCAAGATGTAAAGGAAAGAAGAGGATTGGGTTTACCTGATATAAAATTATGTTTTGCAGCTTGTTATTTAGGTTGGATGAAAGACTGGGGGTTGCTGAGAAATAGAAGGCTTTTGGAATTAGAAGGACACGATCTGAGATGTGGGTGGCATGGATGTTTCTGGTATGACAAAGCTAAGGTTAACATAGATTTTAAAAGGAGTTCCTGATGGGAAATTAAATGTTGGCATTTGTTTCTATCCAGACGACATTTCTCCAGATGCCATTGCAAGAGATGTACCTAGGAACCCCCGAGTCGCAGCTCATCTCACCTCAAGCAGAAATGCAAGGAAAGGTTTATTTGTACAAAGTAAGTCAATGCCTTATTCTGGGGAAAGAGGCTAATGTTTAGAGGAATGCAGTTATTTCTTTTACAGATAGGTGGCAGCACTTGTCTGAGCTTAGAAGCTAAGCAGGGTGGGGCCTGGTTAATAGTTGGATGGGACATTTCAGGTTAGCACCTTTCCCATTGTTGTAGGCTCAAATCAAAATACATTTTAGGCAAAGGCAGTGGGAAACCACTTTCACATTTATACGGACACCATAAAGCTGCTTTATTGTGTCCTTATAAACACCAGGAATCAAACTTGACAATATCTTTTTTCTTATGAGAAAGAGAAGAAGCTGATAATTAATTGTAAATTGTAAATCAGAACCCAGAAAATGGAAAGCAAAACTCTGTATTAGGCAGGCCCATCCCCAAAATAGTGGTAGTCCCATTAAATAGTCCCAGGTAGGAACGGAAATCCTGCCAGTTGGACATAATACTTTGTATTGTGCCATAAAATGCTTGGTGATAATTTTTGTGATAAAATGTTTTATAAAATTCTCCAAATCTTAATTTCACGGGAGTCATAGAACCGGGATTTTGGACACTTTCTCTAAGTTTGCCCATTTGAGTATCGTTACGGTATACCCCAAAGATGCGTTTATTTCTAAAATGTAACTGGACTTTCTTCGTTTTTTTTCTCTTTGCAACACATTTTACTTCTCAGCGAAGAAGCTTCTTCAATTCTAACTGAACGGTGGGGAATGGAAAGATTTATATACTTTGTAGGCTTCTGCCCACCTACCGTGTTTCCCCAAAAATAAGAGGCACCAGGTCTTATTTTCAGGGGGTGTCTTTTGCACTCCCCTCTGGCACCGACAGCCCCGCCCAGCCGGCCTACTTCTTCTGCAGCCTAAGGAGCAGCTTCATTGTACAGCTGAGAATGAAGCTCCGGCCTGCATTTTGCAACCAGAGGCCTTTCTGGAAGGCCTCTGCAGCTGAGAACTATGGATTCAATCCAAAGCTCGGTTCTTGGCTGCAAGAGGCCTTCCGGAAAGGCCTCTGATTGCAAAATGCAGGCCTGGGGACGCCGCAGAAGAAGTGGGCCGGCAAGGAGATGCCTGGCTTGCAAGGTAAGTAGGTGCGGGGCACGTGGTGCAGCTCCCCACCCCCGCCCTAGCTTGATTTTTAGGTATTTGCCTCGCCTCAAAACTAGGGCTTATTTTGGGAGTAGGGCTTATATTAGGCCCACCCCCTAAAATCAAGCTAGGACTTATTCGGGGTAGGTCTTACTTTTGGGGAAACACGGTAGCATTCTGAGGGTTGTTGAGGCTATTTGGGTGCTTATCTGTATCCTCAGAATCACCAGAATCGGAATATAAACAAGTGTGGAAGTTTCTTGGGACTGCTAGCCTCAGCAACTCTCAGACAGTGAGCTAACGACCAAACCTCAGATCTGCTAATAACCAGATAACTGCAAAGGATATAAATCCTTCTGTTCCCCACCACTCAGTTAGAACTGAAGAAGCTTCTTGGATGAGAAGCCAAACATTTTTCAAGGGAAAAAAAAGCAATCAAAAAAGTCCAGTTGCCTTTTGGGACAAGCCTACCTGGATGATTGAGAATATCCATAGACATCACATTATTACACTTTTTTGGCCCAGTTAAAGGTTACAGACATGAGAGTTTTAGGATACACATGGTGAGAGAGGCACAGACTTCTAAAGGGGCACTAAAATCTGATTTAGCATAAAAACCAGGCTTTTGGTTTTTTTCTCATTTATTCACTGAGGACTGCCTTTGCAGACTATACAAATGTAATACATACTATAAATCAAGACAAAGTTAATATGTTGAGAAGAAGGGACAGACCCAGAGACCAGTCCTAGCAGGAAATCAGAAGATTTTAACAAATTCAGCTCAGAACACCAAATATCCTTTAGAGCCGACCATCCTAGGGTCTCCACCAAGGTGAAGTGAACATTTTCATGTTCTAAAACTCAACGAAAATAGAGTGGATGAATGCAGTCTGCTTCCCTGTGATATTAGGCTTGTGAAACCTGGACTAGATGAACATAATTATTTCAATTAAATCAATTTGCATTAAAATCAGTGGAGTGGAAGTTAATTATCCCTGTTTTAAGTTGTAATGATTTCACTTGATCAAATGGTAAATAAGAGAGCTTGGGTCCACCCATCATAATCTTTTGCTAGATACTGTTAATTATTTAATGTTGCCCCCCCCCAAATAAATGTGTAGGCGTATTATAGATGTTGTTGATGTATAATTTAGAGGCTACTTGTATTGCATTTTTAAGTAAAGCCAAACACTCTACGTGGGATATAAATATGCTGTTTTTCAAAAGGATTCGTATTCTCTGCATGCAACCTTTATGCAATCTAGCCCAAACTATACTATCTAGACAGTTTCTAAGGGAAAATTCAAGTGTGACTCCAAAGCAGCCCATGGAAACTAGTGAGAATGTTCTGGCCATAGAACATGGTCAGGAATATAAGACTAATCCAGGCCTGGAGAAGAAAGCAACATGGTGCAGCCTTTTTCCCTCTGATGGCTCGCATTATGTCAGATGGCCATGGTGGCAGGGAATTCTGGGAGTTGACGTTCCAACACGTCTTCAGAGCACCACATTGGGAAAGTCTGCAAATACAGGTAGCCCTCATCTTACGACCACAATCGAGCCCAAAATTTATGTTGCGAAATGAAGCATTTGTTACGACCTTTCTTGCCACAATTGTTAAGTGAATCACTGCAGTTGTTAAGCTAGCAACAGGGTGGTTAAGTGAATCTGGCTTCCCCATTGACTTTGCTTGTCAAAAGGTCGCGAAAGGTGATCACATGACCCCTGGACACTTCAACCGTCATAAATATGAAACAGGTGCCAAGCATCCGAATTTTGATCACGTAACCGTGGTGATGCTGCAACAGTTGTAAATGTGAAAAATGGTCCTCAGTCACTTTTTTCAGTGCCGTTGTAACTTTGAACGGTCACTAAATATACTGTTGCAAGTCGAGGACTACCTGGGGAGTCTTGGAAGAGAACTGGTCCAAAGCCTTGATAAAACTTTCCATTTTGCAACATGTATGACAAAAGTAATATGGGTCACTTTCCTTAATCCCTACAAGTGGTGATCATACATAATATGGGCATTGGGATTTAGGACTCGTATATTGGAGTAAAAGCTGCAAAGAAGATGCAGAGTTTATATGATTTGTCTTTTTAAAAAAGGAGGTGCGATTTATTTAGCGTTATATGTATTTAGCATTTTACATGCCTAAATTATTTTCTGCCTTTTTTTCAATCAATCACAGGTTCTCCTATCAGAAACAATTTGGGATTTAAAATAATCTCTTGGCAATCTTCGGTGTATCCTTCCTTTCTTCACAATGTATTGCTGAACAATGGAGAACTTATCATACAGCAACCTGGATTTTATTACATTTATGCACAGACTTATTTTCGCTTCCGGGAATCGGAAGGGGTTGAATCCAATGCAGATCCTGACTCGGACAGCGTTAGGAATCCGAAGCAGATGGTTCAGTACATTTCCAAATTTACAGATTATTACCCAGAAGCCATCCTGTTAATGAAAAGTGCAAGAACCAGTTGTTGGTCTAAAAACGCAGAATATGGACTGTATTCCATATACCAGGGTGGCGTGTTTCAGTTAAGGAGAAATGATAGGATTTTTGTCTCCATCAGCTATCAAGAACTAGTGGATATGGATAAAGAAGCCAGCTTTTTTGGAGCCTTCCTGGTCTCTTAAAGAAGAAAACGAGAGAACAATTAGACATCCATGAAGAGGTTGTGGAAGACCTGGAAAATTCTGCTTTTGAAGTAGAATAAGAAGTTAGTTGCACTATCCACAGAAGTGCAACTAAGTATATAGTTTCTCTGTTAACCACCAGTGAGACCAGTTCAAGGTTCCATTATCCAAACTCCACAATGAATGGTTGGCATGCTATAGATACAGAAATGCCAACAAGCTGTTGTGGGTCCATGAATACTCTTCCAGGGATTTTGTTTTTTGTTTGGAACGGGACAGTTGCATTTGGTTTGTTTCAGCAAATTTCTGTTGAATCATATGCATGGAATCCATGCACCTAACAAGACAACAGCGAGATCTACATAGTGACAAGTGATTCAAGCTGTACTGTCGTGTGGGTATTGTCACTGTGGTGTGGATTGCCATTTGCTGAATTGCTGGACTGACTCTGATGGCAGAGTGTAAAAGATAAAGCAAAACAGATTCCCTGAGTTTCCTTTTTTCAAATCAGAATGGTTGAGAGCTGCACCGCTCATTTAGAATAGCACCTGGAAGATCCATCCAGAAAGGTACCATCTCTGATTGCAGGAGAAGAAAAATCTCTTATTCCAAAGCTGCACCCTAAATTCGCTTCCATCAAGGAGAACGTTCATATACCTGCACCCCTTCATGCAGTTTGAAATGGTACAGTCCTGGGTGGGCTGTATCATGCAATATCTCCAAACATGCTGCTCATTTTTGAGAATGAAAAATGTGAATCCCGTTGGGAAATCTGCAAAGAACAGGATTTGCTTCATGTTCTATAATTGGGCTGAATGAATAAAAAAAAAAACCCTAAAAGATTACTCTGAGGTTGGAAACAGGCTTCAGATTACTTGAATACCTCCTTTTAATGCAGGACCATTTTTCATATGAAAAGATTGTATTTTTAAGTTTAAGATTTTTTGTTTTTAAGTTTAAGATTTTTTTAAAAAAATAGCACGCTAACAAAAATCGGGAGAATCAAAGCAATTATTATTATTTTTTTGCAAAGATCCAGATGCAGTAAGATACAAACTGAAGAGAGGGATGTAATTTAGAGGACCCTCAGTAAATCAATAAATGGTGCCTTTTGATCTTGTGAGAATTAATGTTATCACCTGTAGACTTCTGCTGAAGACACAGGAGGTTAAAAAAAAAGTAAGTAACTCTTAACCACAGACTCTGTAAAAGCAATTAAATGTCTCTGAAAGTTTACTGTTTTATTCCAGAAAGGTAAGTGACGGTCAAAGAAGCTTCCACGTATTTAGAACTGGAAACACATAACTGTTTAATATTGGATAAAAATCAGTTTATTTCTGTAATGCCAAATAGTACTGGATTGGTATTTAGTAGCATTTGCCATGTGGCAATATTGTATTGAAATGCCATGAACACTTTCACCTGCAGCATGTTTTTTGCATTGTGATTGACAAAACAGTTGCCAGCTGTTTCTCCAGCTTCCACAGCACACCACTTTGATGTACACAGCTTAGTCAATACCATTGTTCGTTGCTCTGTTGTGAACCCCTGAGGATTTCTCTGCTGTCATTGGTGTGGTTTTTCATGTGATCTATTAGCTCAACTCCTCTAAGGGCTTCCTATATCTCTTTAGTTTGGTTGAGAAGGAAAATCCCACCATAACTACAATTTTGGACAGTCTGCTGATTGTAGCCTTACTTTGTTGGCCGATATGTTTGAAAGAGTTACAGATATTGGCCAACTGCTTCTGTAGAAGGAAAATGCAACCCTAACTAATTTTGGACAGTATGATTATCATACTTTTACTATGTTGCCACATACTATGTTGAAAAAGATGTAAATGTAGGCCAACTGCATCTTCAGAAGTAATTTCTTTCAAAATGCTTTTAAATATATGCAAAGAGATACTGAAGTTACATACGGTGTCCAATGTTGGGGTGTAAATATGTAGCAGTGACATTAACATGATGATGTCACGTCATTCCATTTTAGAATCATCATCGTTTGTTCACACCACTGTAAAATATATGGTCTTTAATTCTGAGCTGAATCAATTAATTCGATGGTCTCCAATTTGCGATGACAAGTCTGAGGATGGCTGACTTGGAGGCCATGCTGAAATAATACTGGGAAATTTTGCCCAGGTTGCAGCAAGTATGTAAGAACTTGGCAGCCCTCATACCTCATGCTCATGGTGATATTAGAGAAGAAAGAATTGGAAAGTTCTGGAGATAAACCCTCCACGACCCATTCCTGTGAACTCAGTTAACAAATCGGAGGGACAAAACTCTGAATGACCATTAATGGGTAGCAAAATTCTGTTGGGACAGTTTAAGTTTTGCAGCTCAAGTGTGGTTTGTATACTGTGAAGCAAAGCACCAGTTTAGTTAGATAGTTCATCTTTATTAATGTTGGTTTAACAAATGGAGGCAGCGAATGTGATGGCAAGCTCTTGACCATCCTTTGGGTTTTTTAAGCCATGGATATCAAAAATACTGTCACGTGTAGTATATTATTATTTTTTTCTTGATTAAAAAAAATGGGTTTATTCTGAATGCCTCAAACAGTCAGAAGAAATAGGTGATACTTGAGCAGGGAAAAAGGAGAAGATCACCAAACTCCAATAATCAGTTTACAGGCAGGGAAATCTAGACCACCATATGATGGCTTCAAGACCATGTGTCTCCTTGCTGCCATCTAGTGGTACTTTCCTGTTTTCGCAGCTGACCATACAATTTAAAATCACACAATTTTTTTTTAAAAAAAGCTAAGAAGTTTAAAAACAAATATGAACCCTTTTGCACATGATATAAAATGCTTTTCAGAGTTCATCTATATTTGGGATCTTCAGCAGACTTGAAAATGCAACCAATGAGAAAGTGATGCAATTCTTCCTATGTATTTTCTTTTTTAAGTGTGAAATTTCTTATTGAAATGTCCTGAGATTTTGTACTTTCATTTTTAATAAAAAGTTCAGAATTAATTGTGGACTCAGGTTTTTTTGCTGTCATACCCCCTTTCATCTGAACAAAACCCTTTGCAAGCTGTTCAGTAGCCTCCGGATGGGAATTCTTGGGAATTTTGCCAAAAAGGCTGAGAGCCATAATCTCCAGAAAGAGAAGGAAGTCATAGCATGGCAAAAAACCAGGAAGAATAACAGGGATGGAAATAGAATAGGAATAGAGTAGAGTAGAAAGTAGAATAGAATAGGATACGTAGGAGATAGGATAGCATAGAAGAATAGGAATAGAATAGAATAGAATTCTTTATTGGCCAAGTGTGATTGGATGCACAAAGTATTTGTCTCTGGTGCATAAGCTCTCAGTATACATACAAACAACAAAGTGATAGGTCATAGATCATAAATCATAGTTTCAATCATTAATCATAAGATACAACAACAATGATAATCATAGATACTAATAGGAGAAGGTAGTAGGGAAGATGAGAAGGATAATAGCAGTACAGCCTACTACATGGGTAAATACATTATTTTTAGCCTAAGAGTGCCGTGGGAATTAGGTGTTCAGAATGATGGTACGGGGGGGGGGGGGGGGGGACTGTCTTGTCTAAATGTTTTGGCATGAAATGCCCTATAGCTGCATCCAGAACTGAGAAGTTGAAACAATTTGTGTCCAGGATGTGAAGGGTCTGTATATATATTCTCAGCCCTCTTTCTGGCTCATGTACTATACAGGTCCTCAGTGGAAGGCAGGGTGGTAGCAATTGTTTGTTCTGCGGTTCTAACTTGGTTTGTACCTGTCCTGTTTGGTTGCTGTGCCAAACAAGACAGTTATTAAGGTACAAATGACAAGACTTAATTATTCCTCCATAGAACTGTTATCACCAGATCTTTGGGCAATGGATCACTTAACTGTTTTTGTGGTGGGCAAACAGACAAACTGCAACAATGCATTACTGCAAAAAGTTTTAAAAAAAATAAAATGCATAAGCCAAAATACTGACAGGCTGTTTCGAAGGCTGCTCAGTTTTTTCCATGTTTTTCCTTTCATGTTGCAAGCATGAAACAAAGTGCACACACGCAAAAAAAATCATTCAAAAGAAAACGATGGAAAACAGTAATAAATGACCAACAGATAAAATTATTTGTTATATTAATGGAACGAATGGAAGGAGGAAGAACACAAAAGAGAATAGGCATATTAGTTGTGCTTGTTAAAGCTAAAACTGAATGTTAATATAAACCTTTGAATAAGCTGTATATTTGAAATAAGTCGACTTAACAACAGTGACCGAAGTTACAAAGGCACTGAAAAAAGTTACTTATGGCCATTTTTCACACTTAAGACCATTGCAGCCTCCCCATGGTCATGTGATTTACATTTGGATGCTTGGCCACTGGCTCATATTTATTGGGTTGCAGTGTCCTGGGGTCATGTGATCCCCTTTTGTGACCTTCTGACAGGCAAAGTCAGTGAGGAAACCAGATTTCACTTAGCAACCATGTTACTAATTTAACAACTGCAGAGGTTCACTTCACAACTGTGGCAAGAAAAGTCGTAAAATGGGGCAAAACTCACTTAGCAAATTTCTCACTTGGCTTAGCTCACATCAAAACTGCGTGCTTCTGGAGAAATAGGAAATCTATGCCAAAGAAAAACATTGTGCCTTGGGGTGGTGTGTGTGTGTGTGTGTAATTAATAGGGAAAATGGCCCTTTCGAAATTGATCAATGGTTCTTAAATCCAGTCCTTAATGCTTAAATAATAGTCTTTTTCCAGCCTCAGTATAGTTCTCTTAGCTAATCTGTGTAACAGAAGGACTGCCATTTTGCCTCCCAACTTCAGTTTGTCGTAGCGTGTCCTCCATCTGCAGCCAGTGTTTTTGAAGTACCATCATGTTAGACAGGATGTCTTCACAACACAGACCAGCTGTTGAGAAATGCCTCAGGAAGTAACAGAAAGCAATGTCAAGAGCTATCAACTGTTTATCTTGTTCAGCTAAGAGATTTGCAGTAAAATGAGGTGTTCTTTGGATATGTACTCTTTTCCCAGCATCACAGTTTTGTTTTCTTAGCTCCATGCTGTGTAATACATTAAAAAAAAGGTTGGGGTGTAGAGGAATAGATGGAAAATCTTGAGGGATGATTTCAGGGTGCACCGAGAGAATTACATTCCTAAGTGATCCTGTGTGCAGTATATAGAATAACAGCTTAACAGAGGTGGAGGGGACCTTGGAGGTCCTCTAGTCCAACTCCCTACTCAAGCAGGAGACCCTATAACCGTGGTGGTGAACCTATGGGTTGCGTGCCACAGGTGGCATGCCGAGCCCTCTCTGTGGCACATGCGCCGTCGCCCCAGTCCTAGGCCTTCAGCTGGGTTTTATAAAACCTTTTCGCTTTAGGCCTCTGCCGCTGTGTGTATCTATCAATCAATTTCAACTTCTCTTGACTGCAAAGTTGGAATTGACTGAACTTTTTAGTCCCACCCAGTCTGCCGTTACCACTGCAGCCACGCCCACCCAATGGGTGACGCCCACCTAATGGGCCACACCCACCCGGCACCTGACGATACATAAGTGGGTTTTGGGTTACAGTTTGGGCACTTGTCTCTAAAAAGTTCGCCATCACTGCCCTATAACATTTCAGACAAATGCTTGTCCAATCTTTTCTTAAAAACTTCCAGTGTTGGAGCACCCACAATTTCTGGAAGTAAGTCATTCCACTGATTAATTGTTCTAACTGTCAGGAAATTTCTCCTTAGTTCTATGTTGCTTCTCTCCTTGATTAGTTTCCATCCATTGCTTCTTCTGCCTTCAGGTGCTTTGGAGAAGAGCTTGACTCCCTCTTCTTT